CACTCAACAATGATATTGCACTTGCATCAATCAAAAATGTCATTAGAGTGTGAGATTACTGCATTTCATCGTGATATATAGTGCTTATTTACACATTGGCTAGGACAAGATACATCTTGTTTCGAAACGAACAATTCTATTAGACAGAGAATGACCGAGAATATGCATAGCGATTGAAATGCGAGCATTTGAAGAGTTGAAAAAAAACATGCTTGAAATGGTTAGTATGAAGGTATCATTACAATTATTAGCATGTGTTGATATTTTGAAGAACACAAGATTGAAAGAACGGATTTGCGTAGTTTTGTAGATCTTAACCTGGTGAACCTTGTCATTTTCAAAGAACTTTTTTTTTCAGAGATCACTGACTGAGAATGTAACTATGAGCCAATTTTCTTGAATAGGACTTGGAACAATGCAATGGCATAACCTCTTCTTTTGAAATGGATATTAGTTTTCATTAAAATTCAAAATTCATAGTATATTTATATTTTAATCAAATTATGAACTCCGAATGTTCGAGAGAAAATTCTTGAAATTAAGAACTCAATAACTCGAATTACCTGTAACTTGTGCAAAATCAATCAATAATTGCAGAAAATAACGTTGAAATTCTATACTGGCTAGAGACGCACACAGATTTCGACAATGTGGGTTTTCAACCAACCATGCTTGATCTTGTCCTTTCAGTCGGTAACCTAAGGGTGGATAAACATATGGTACTAATTTGACTTGTTTTATTGCCGCATAATCTAATAGATATTGAATTGTTGGTGGTATTGGATCACGATAAGGTTTCCATTGCTCTAATCGAATTTTTTCACCTAAACTCATCCACAACACACTTTCCCATCCCCAATCGTCCGTTCCCTGGTCACGTCGTGACACATTGGAGTTCGATGGTGCAAAAGTAATGCTTGTAATACCCAATTGTGCACATCGATTGATCAAACGTTTATACTCTTCAATACCGTGCTCAGTCGATATATCAATTTGATAGTCGTTATTATCCCATCCGACAACATGTTTGAGTGAATAATTATGTGGTGATATAGTAAAAAAGAACGATGTTGCATTGACATAGGCTTGTCTTTCAGCATAGTTAACATCATTCGTATGCCAATAGGGAGATAGCTGATAGAAACCGATAAGAAAACCTTCACTCAAATACGCTGTTTCAATGCCGACATCGTATGAACTAGTCACTATTTGATTATTTGAGGCAATGGAATAAAGACCGAATGGATGTTGCCATGTAGCAAATATTCCTAAGGATGTTGATTCAGTACGTAAAAAGATTGTATGCTGTCTATTTGTATCTTGTTGATTAAATATGATTGAGGCCGATGAAATATTCATGTTGGTAACAGTGAACGTTGTTTCAACCGATGTTATTGTTTTATTATCGATATTTTTGAAATAGAGTTGTTTTTGTACAAATTGCCATCCTGAATGCAGTGTATAAATCGCTGCTAACTGGTAGTTCGTATTGTTTGAACATGAATAGGTAAATGTGATTGAGTCTAAATCTCGTGTGTAATACAAGAGTCTTGAACAATCAAAGTGAAGATTATTGATAAATAGTGAACTTGATTCGTTGGCAATCATAATCAACTGTGACTGATAAGTGATAGATGATATTTGACCAGTGGATAAATCAAATTGAATCAATAAATATTGGTTCGATAATGAAATTAGACTTTGATGATGAATATGAATAGTCATCATTGCAGAGCAAATGAAAATCAGCCATACAAAAACAAATTTGACACATGATATCGAGGACATTTTGAAATGATTATCAAGGTTTTTTTCAGTGATTTTTTCGATTGAACTAAAGATTATATTTCGAATCATATTGTACATGGCTATTCCAATTGTCCAATCCAATTTAATCTAGAATTATATAGAAAAAATCGTTATGATTACCATAATCCAGTGAGTTTTACATCGTTCATTGGCTTCAGAGCTGATCATAATGGAAGAAGGAGGGAGCACTTACTTCCAATCTTGGGAAATTTTCAAATTGTCTATGCAAGAAAACTTCATTACTGCATGTTCTCTCCACACTGTGGTGAAAAACGCACAATATAAGAAAAAAAAGTGTTATTCTTGTTTGAAAAGAAGAATCGAACGAGTGAAAACATGCCGAATATTTCAAATTGTTTGTGTCATATGCTGCAACCGGTCGGAGAAAAGCGAAATTGAAGGCTTTTATACGTTTTCTTTCTTCATTTTTTCACTTCTTATAAGACACGTTACCTACTGTATTATCAACGTGTCGTTTGTTTCAATGCAATGAAATAGTTACAAAGGAATTATTAAAGGAGGCCTCATATGTGAAATCCACATAGAGAGTAGGGAGCTATGGAAGAGAAAAAAAATCAGATTGGTGATAGAAATCTGTAGAACAATGGAAATTAAAGTAAACAAAAAACAGTATTCAGCCAGGACTGTTTTCAAGGAGCAATAGCTGTAAAGAACGAATTTAGAAAAAAATGAAACGATGTATGTTTGAAGTGCTGATGTGGGGTAGGGGTGCCAATTTCTGGTTCCATTCTCGAGAGCCCTTACCAACTTGATATAGATTGCAAGAAAAAGTACGGTCATAAGTCTTAATGTAATCAGAAATGCGTGGAAACGAATCTTCGAGCGGGTTTCGTTCCTTGGGGACGGAAAACCCCAACACCCCTGATGCGAGTGGATGGATATGGGTAGCATGTAGGATGTGAGTGCGGGTGGATGGATATGGGTCGATGTAGGATGTGTGTGTGCGTATGAATACAGATGATGGTGTCGAGTGTGAGCGTAGGTGCGGGTTTAGACGAAGAGAAGATCCATACCTACCCCACAGTCCACACAGACACCCCAACTTCCTAAGCGTTCATTTATTAAAAGATTATTATACGAGATTTAGTGCTGACAAATATGCTTTTCCATCATCGAAATACTTTTACCTTTCGAATACAAACGTATACAATACAAAACAAACAAATAAGAGCTTTTAAAGTCTTTTTGCTACGTATGATGATGTGTGATATCGTTGAATATCTCGTGAAATCAGTAATGCTAGGGTAAGTGAGGACTAACATTTCAGCTACTTCGATACCTCGCACCTACATCCGGATAGAGAATAATATTATTCGATTACCGAACTTTTTGTGCGAAATTTTACTCATTACGTATCAATCTTAGCTTATATAGTCATGACAGTTTTGAACGATTATCCTTGTGTATTGAACTCACATATATTTTCGAAGAAAATATTTAGTTTAAATTTCAAATCGAAGTGTTGCAGCTTCTCCCGTCTCATTCCAGACACTGAACAACATTAACAATAAGACTTAGAAGGTTCTAGAGCATTACAGAACCTTCCTACAAATATATATGACTGGAATGCGTTTATCAGCATTCTAAGTAATAACGCAGTTTCTATTCAAAATATCAACGATCATGGATAGGAATGCATTGATTTATCATAGTTGTCATATATGATCAACATAAAGCGAGTTAAGGCCTGCTGCTGTAAATATAAAGTATAATCATTTCCAACAATCTTGCTTGCTATTCACTTCAATGCTTATTATAATAACAAAGTTAAATAAAGAAAAAATAAGTAATACACGAATAATAAGAAGGCAAACATAACGTAGAGTGCTCGTAGAAAAAAAAAATTTCGGTTCGAAATATACAAGTAAAAAAGGCATAGTGTTTTGCCAATAATCGATTATCGGTGAAAAAGAACTATCGTCTTTTAGATATTTTACATTTCACTTATTTCTTGCAGTGATATAATGAAGCTAAAGAATAAACACACATTTCACATTTCAGTTCCAATAGGACGGGCTGCACTAACAAAATTCTTTTCTATGAGTTAACTTATTGTGAAAGTTTATAAGATTTCTCTCTCTTGATAGGCACGTGTATAGTTATAAGCAGTTGATGAGATTGAATACATTAAATCACATATTATTAGTGATTGAATAACTATTTTGCGTATTAATCATAATGGAAAAAGAATGATTATGTGAAGCGAATGATTTGTATTGCAATTATATGTTATAGTTATATACGTCTCTCACCTGGCTCTTATAAAGAAAGAAGATTAATACGGTGTATACTAGGAAGAAAAAAAATTATGAGTTCCGTATTTGTGACAATGGGCACCCTTTTTTTTCAACGAATTTGAATGCCGGAGCCTACTCCTGTTTTTAGTTGTTTTTTGTCAATAATTAATGATTTGATATGGGTCATAAAATTTTTAATTCATTGATCGACGAATTTCTCTCTCAACATAGTCAATATTGTTACTAGTTAATGAATAAAATACGTTAAAAATACATTCTTATTCGTTTACAATTCAATTCTTTGTTTTCATCGTTATGTTATCATTATGTTCATCAAATAATAACGACAATGATTCAGCTACTATTGATTTATTGTATAATTTATGTAAAAAAAACGAAATAGACAATGTTCGAAATATTTTACAAACTATCGATAATAGAAATATCATAAATAAAAATCATCCCTCAACTGGCTCAACATGTTTGCATGTTGCATGTTACTATGGACATCGAGAAGTAGTAAGCATTTTATTAGATTATGGAGCTTTACGTTCAGTAAGAAACTTAGCATATAATTTAACACCTTATGAAGAAACTGGTAGAGATGATATAAAACAATTACTTTTACAACAAAAACAATTTTGTTCAAATAATGATTATAATTATATTGAATGGTCAATGATAGGCGATGATCTTCTTGAGAAACGACGCCAATTTCGTCACATTATTGATTTATATAAAGACTATGACAATGAACATTTAATATCAAAATTATTAGTTGAAGTTATTCATTATTATTTAGATGAATATCTGACAAATCAATATAATAATACTGAAAATTTAGAACATCAAACTATTCGTAAACAAATTAAAATAATTCAAGAATGTTTTAAAGAAGCCATAGAAAAACAAGATTATTTAACATATTTCATAAAAGCTTATACATTAACAACATGTTTTTTTGAAGAATTAAATAAACATTTAGCTCTTTATATATCAGATTGTTTTGATAAAACAAGATATTTTTTATCAAATTATCGTCTTGTAAATTGTCTTAGTCATATAGTAACACTTTTAATCTATCATCCAAATTTACCTCAATATCATTTTCAAGGTGTATGTTATCGTGGTATGAGAATAACACAAAATGATTTAGATCAATATCAATTAAATCAGCATTTCTTAAATCGTTCATTTTTATCAACATCTATTGATCATCGAGTAGCTGAAATGTTTGCTGGTGAAGATCAACAATCTCATATGAGACATACTTATCAAAGTCATCGTCCTTTACAATACTCATGTTTATGTAAATATTTAATAAAACAAAATTCAACAGCTATCAACATACAAAGTTTATCAACAAGACCGGATGAAAAAGAAATTTTAATTCTTCCATTTAGTGTTTTTAAAGTAATAGGAATTAAACGCAATTATCTTGATAATCCAACAGCATCAATTTCAATTGAAATTGAATTAGAAGAATGCGAAGATCGAAATAACAATGATTTACAATGTAAAAGATTTTTCTTCACATATCAAAGAAAATTTTTTCTTTAAATTCTATTTATTAAATTTTTAGATATTAACGAATTAGAAGCAAGTTCATTTTTAACATCTTGTGATGATATAAGAGACTCTAGAGAATATTCAAAACTTCAACGACGTCGATATATTCTTTATAGCATCATCGGATTTTTACTATTAGTTTTCCTTGTTGGTTTAAGTTTCACATTCATTTTTACTTTCGTTACTAAAAAGAATACCACTACAAACATCGCAACGTCAGCAAAAGAAACAGATATTGATGTTGACAATTCATTACCACTAGGTAAAAGTGAGACGAGAAAAATATTGCCAGAGAAGAGTCTATAACAAACTAAAATTTCCAAAGCTCTACGAAATGTTTATCATGATTTTTTAACGAATTGATTAAAATTCACTCTTTTCTTATTAGTAAATATAGTTACTGACTGTGAACCCTGGCAAAATCAGGGGCTGAACTTCCACTAGCTCAAAGCCTGGTTCCACCATTGGTTGTGAGTTTAGATGTCACATGTTACAAGATTGTTTGCGCTACCATGGATATACCATGGTGCTTATAAGAAGCAGTGGCTACCGCTTGTGATTTTTGGATCCAGCTATAAACGATTGCAGAGCCTGTTTTCTATCCAAATTCGAATCATTCACTAAAAAGAATTTAAAGTCATCGGGATAAAAAATAGTTTCCGAATATATTTTACTAATAAAAACTGTTTTCATGAACGGGGCTGATTTTGACTTCGTGTCTAACAGACACGGCTCAAACGCATCAATACTATCATATCGATCTACATATCTTATAGATTGTCCCAATATATTAAATCGATCTAGCTGGAATGCACGCCCATATATAAGTCGTGAGAACTTAAAAACATTCCCGGTTCAATATATTGTAATAAGACCAATAGAAGATTCTTATTCACCTATGAATCAACAAGATTGCATTAAACAAATAACAGGATTTCAAGATTATCATATGACTACACGAAATTTGGATGATATTGCTTATAATTTTATAATCTGTAATGATGATCATGACCAACAAGAAATTTATGAAGGTAGAGGATGGAAATATATTGGTGCACATTGTAGAGGTTACAATGACAGATCATTGGGTAAGAAAATTTTCTTTTCTTCAACTTCCTAGAACAACAGATCTTAGAGTTTTGTCGATTTGATTTTGAGTTTGTCA